TTTTGGCTATCTCAACTCAAATCTAATGTTAAGGTGGGAGGGTCCCTCTAACGAAAATATCAAAGCATTAAGACATACCTACACCTTTTTTAATGTAAAATTAAACGAATGTGACGGACATGTGCGCAGTGCAGTGTCTAATCGTCTCCTACTCACCTCTTCTTCTGGCAGCGAATGGGTCGATGGTGTAAACGACGACCCCCTTCAGCAGGTCACCGCCGCGCCCCAGGATGTCCGAGAACGGAAAGTCCTCCTCATCGGTGGAATCTGGATGTTCGGAGCCAGATTCCAGGGTATCCTGGGATCCAGACTCATTAGTATTTGGCAATTTGGGCTCCTTAATCTGTTTGGGGGATACATCACTGGAGGGAAGATCATTTAAATTTGATTCGATTACTGAAACACCATTTGAAACAGGTTCGTGTTGTTCAAATATCACCCCTGGAATATCCTGTAGTTTGTCTTGCACCTGTAGTTCTTGTTTCGCGACTTGGTGAAGCTGGAGTTCCAGCTCGTGGTTGGTATTTATATCTAGTTTGAGCTCTGCTGGAGAACTGGTGGTAGTGCTTGAGGAGCTGTCACGGAAGTCAATAGCTGACTGCTCTGGGTCCTCCGTGTTCTCTATCCCTGGCTGTTTGTCGGAGATCGCCTGTAGTGCTGACGATTGGTCTCGGTCGACGGCTGTCACCGATATATTCTCTGTCTGCTCGTGACGATGGGTGGGGAGCTCAACAGAGTCGGTTTCTGGTGCTTCTACAACCAGAGAGTTAGGCTCCGATTCGGATGTGTCCGGATTTTCATGTGGTGCCGGAAGTGCTCCAGGCTTGCCATTCCCGAAGAAGTCCGGTTGAACAAAAACTATATCGTCCATTAGTTTCATGTGACTCTGGTGTTCACTCGTTGACAAGCTAGAATTATTTGGATGACTTGGGGATCTCTCCACGTTATCAACAGACATATTGTGAGTGTTGAAGACGTTTTTTGGGATCTCAATGTTAGAGTCATCTAATGTATCGTCTTTAAATTCATGAATGTGTTCAGTCTTGTCGTCTCTTGTCTGTTCAAGGCCCACGCCACGTTTAATCCCGTTTACGACGTAGTTTCTCACTACAAGATCTTCAGTTCCATATCTTGAAGGATGGCCTTTGTATTTTTCGTCGTGAATGACTGTTTCGTTCAGTTTTGGTTTGAGCGTGCTGTTGATGTCTCGAATGTCCAATGCCCCGTGAGGATAACGTTTGATAGAGTCACGAGCTGTTGCCTTGCCGTGGGGATAAGCGGTTGGCAGATTTCCATGGATTGTTATCCCATTGCCATCCCTAATGCCTTTCGAGGGGGATTTAACAAATGACTGGGCATCTACGATGTCAAAAGTATCCTTCTTGGGTTGAATTGAAATTGAAGATTCGTTTCTTTCGGTACCATTTTCCACCGGTGATGACTTGTCATGCTTACCGATGTTGTCATCGATACGGTCGCTTGCACTGCTGTTATCCTTGTTTAGTTTGTGCGATTTACTGATGTTAGGATTACTTGGCTGCGAGAACAGTGGAGAGAAAAATAAATTCGTCGACAGATAGCCGGTCTGATCAGACGCATCAGATGATGTGGGCTTCTTCAGGGTTTCAAAGATATCTTCAATTGTATTGCTCTCATCCTCAGATGGGAGAGACTCGTTGTCTCCAACAAATTCCAGACTGTCGACAGCATCAGGTAGCTTACTCTTCTCCAGCACTGACCTGAGGTCAGGACGCGTGCTTAAAAGCCGACGCAGCTCCGCAAGGTCACGATCATGATCAAATGAAGCATGAAGTTCAGCTATTTGCAGGTCAGCTGGGGTCGAGTGGAGGTCAGGAGAGTTCACAGAAGAGCTCGAGTTGGCGCGAACACTGACCAAAAGTCCAGCCCAGACGGTGCAAATGACGACCAAATTAAACATCACCGAGAATCGTGATCGGGAGGTGGACCGAGCTCCCACCATTGTTATAACCAAGATTCTTACAGATAGTTAGGTATAACCACGACCGATTTTTCCTCCTCAATCAATATCCACGCTTTTCAACTGCCGCGTTTCATCAATCACCTCGCCAAAACGCTTTCAATTTGACACCGTCTCACCACGAGAATCCGAACTCCCGAGGACACGACCTCACACGCAGCCCGGCTCACTCGCTGCCACACACCTCCATACACTGACAGACCCGTGACGCTCCTCCGTGGCCGACCGACACCCATCGAGCCGTGAGCTGGGGAGGGGCGCCGGCTGCAGTGAAGGGCACACGTGCTGGTGCGTGGATGACCGACTGAGTTGTAACCATGACGGGGGGGGGGGGGGCGCAGAGAGCGGCACCACTGGGGGGTGACACCAGCTGGTGACACGCACCATCCGTCCCGAGAGATATCGATGGCACCGGTGGTGCGCACCTGCCGAGTAGCGTCGCAGTGATGTCATCACTGCGGATCGACGGAAACGACTGGTGTGCAGTGTGCGTCGTAAGACGTTGGACGCGGGAGCATTCGGGCAAATGCCCCTCGGTCCCCTCCCTCACTCCCCAAAGCGCCCAAAATCGATGAAAATTTAACGTTTTCTGAAAAAAAGAAAGCTAAAAAACTTTTATTGTGAAAAACTTTGTTTTAAGTACACTACAGTGCACAAGGAATTAACCCACGAGTTGCTGTGGGGGGGGGGGGTTAAACGCCCCCACTTTTTTCGCCGGGCCATAGCATAAAAACGGCGCGCCGCAGGCGCGCCAAATTTTGGCTACCTGTAGGGAATTGATTGAAGTTTATTGTGACAAAGTTTAAAAAAAAAATCTATCGGAAAATATTTGAGATATCGAGGTTTTAGTGACGTCATGATTTCTGAGTTTTCGACCAAAAACGGCATATGTTCCAAAAATCATATAAAATCACAGAATAGACATACAGACATGCCGTAAACGCTATTAGACTGCCAATAGGGGAGAGCGGGGCCAGTTGAAACACGGGGTCAGATGAAACATGGCTTTATTTTCAACAGTATGCAACATATGGCGTTGCCGACACCACTGCGCATCCGCGCTCGACCACTTCCTTTGTCAACGGCGTTTGGGCGGCAAACGGACGGTAATTTTGATTTGACACTTGTTTTTGTGTTTTTTTAGGGGCGTTTGGGAGAAATCGTTCTTATGAATATTTTGTGATATCTCATATACCTTTGTTTGCTGAAAGAAGAAATCCTGGCTCCGGAATAACACCTTATTTGGCCCTTCATTCAGCATGATGCCGTCCCTCCAGCTCGTTTGACATGTGCTTTACGGCGCGTGCGAGATGGCGGGAGCGGATGGGGTCAATTGAAACGCTTCTCTGAGGGTCAATTGAAACAGGGCCACAGGCCGTTTCAATGGACCCCGGTGACCTTTGCAATGGTTATTGTTCAGGGGCTGTAAACATTAAAGGAAATAGTCCACCTTTGAAATGGGCTTTTAAACTGAAACAGTAGTTTAATAGAGCTCAATTTTTGACCACTTATTCTCCAGCCTTTTGCTTGAAAGCACACTGTAGCCTGAGATATTTCTAATTTTTCTCATCCGCCCATTTTATCATAGTCTATGTACTTTATGTCACCTATTGTGAGGAACTTTGCACTTTTAGCTTTCCAACGACCTATTGAATGTAGCATTTGGAAAAGTAAACCGGACAAAATATCTCCTTAAGAAAGTGGCCTTAAAGAGGAAAACATCCCATTGTTAAGGATAGGTGCAATTGACCCCATGGGCTGGTTCAATTGACCCTCGCATCGGGGTCATTTGAAACGGGCGTAGATCTGTTTTATAAGCATGCGTTTGGCAGCAAAATATGTTTGAAACATAATTTTACATATCTTAAAATAAAGCCAAAAGAGCATATTTTTCATGGTATTGTGCATTTTTCGATATGACAACTAGATCTCGCTGTGCATGTCAATATATAAAAAGTGGTTCAACTGGCCCCGCTCTCCCCTACCATGAACAATCAAATGGCTATCTTCGATTATTTATTATCGTTCTGCATTTTCCAAAATCTTGAACTGAATCTTGGCAATTTCTCGTGACTACTTCACGACCATGATACATGCATTTCTTAAATTGAACTTTTTGAGCCAAACACGTACACATATGATAAAATGAATGTAACCATCGTGTTCTACGCCCCAAATTACCCATAAAACATGTGTCACAGGCTGCGAATATCAGTTTTGATTTTCGGGGATATGTGCCTATCCGGTTGACCTGACCTTGACCCTGACCTATGCTTGACTGACCCCTACATGGAGCTGACACTCTTGTAGGCCTTATATGATGGATTGTGCACCGTTTTGACAGAGTTACTGACGAGAGGCGCCCATTGCGAAGTCCTGAAGTCGATGCTACTGAAAGCCCGATTTCAGGTGTTTGACCTGACCTTGACACGACCTGTGACCTAAAAATTCAACTTTGAAGTGCTCATCTGAAGCGTCTCGTCGCGCTCTTTCGTTCGCCGCCTCGTGCGTTTCGCTGCGCCTATTGGTTCTCGAGTTATCGGCTGGGGGCGTTTAACGCCCCCCCCCCCCCCAGCAAACGGTGGGTGGCAACATACCCCAGCAACTGCCGGGTTAACCCTCGACTGGACTCGTCCGGCCCCGCTCGGCTCACGGCTGGAACAGGGAACACTAAAATTCTGTCGTCGGCCGATTCTAAATCCGGCCCTCTTAATAGCTCTGGAACACCCTTATCAGGCTTGCTGGGTTTTGACCAGAAAAATCGTAGAAATATCTGATGGCCTTCCCATTCAAAACGCTTTATAGCACCAGTAGCATATTTTTCTCATTTTAGGAAAGAATAAAGCAATATTACTCAAGATTCCTTTACTACTCTACTCCATAGTAATATGGTAGTAATATGGCAGCAAAAATAGCAAGGCAGCTATGGCGCAAGAGTTCTCAAATGTTATGGGTAGAGCGTATTCTGCTTTGTGGAAATGAAAACTTTTCGTGAGCACTCGCACATAAAGCTCCAATTCAAGTGGTTCAAGGTAGTCGATGCTTAAAGAAAGCTTTGACGACATACCAAACGGAACACAAGAATTGTTCGCCATGGGTATTCGCTTGGGTATTCGCTGCTCTGTTGCATTCATCAAGGCTATGCATTCATAGGTGATTCCAGGTGATTCGCCAAGGCCGTGGTGTAACAATTTAAGCTCCTAAAAAATATTTTTGCTTATTCGATAAGAGGTAAGGTAACTATTTTTATGTGCATAAAGGCCATAAATTTGCATAATTCATTCTTCAACTCCACTCTGTTGAAGTGTTTTTTTAGGTATTTATTTACTTTAGGTCCGCAAAACGGTATTTATTTAATTTAATTTTATCTAATTTAATTTTATCTATTTTAATTTTTATTTAATTTAATTTTATCTAATTTTATCTAATTATAAAATTTTTAATTTAATCTAATTTATAGGTAGGTAAATACCCACAATAATGCAGTCTCATAGAACCTATGATGATTAGAATTCAAACATGAGCACAAGATATGATGACATTTGGCTCCAAATGGATCATCCTTACCTGCTTAATCCAGATGAATACTGAATAACCATTAGACACCTTAAATATTTTTTTCCATCCCCTGGATCAACCAACATCAAAATCATAATTTTACCATGATGACTTAAAGGGACCCTCCCACCTTAACATTAGTTTTGAGTTGAGATAGCCAAGTTTGCGGCCAGGCTCAGAAACCACCATTTATCCTGGTCGTAACCCCCGCAGCTTTATGGTGTTCAAGAAATTTCTTCCCTTTACTTGCAGGGTGGGACCAGCGTGGTCCCTATCTCTTAACCATTACGGGAATCTGATGACGTCATCAGGCTTTCGAACGTCCGTTACATGTTTGACTAAAACGTTTTGTAGCACGCGGTGGTATATGCTGCTTTGCGCGCAACAAATGCCGCACTTTCAAATAAAGTCGCTAGGAACAGCGGAGATCCCAAAAAGTAAACAAAAGTAAAAGTCTAATATCTTGAAAACCGGTGAATATTTTTCGATGAAATTTGGTAGATATTCGTTTTTTGCTCTTTCTGAACCGAGCGACATCACTTTCATGCCAATTCATTAACTTTTTTGAAGGTGGGAGGGTCCCTTTAATGTAAAGGTCATTTGGAATTACCTATACAAGTTTCAGAACATTTTCTTCCCTTGCAACTCATCTGAACTGTGTCACCTTCCAAGCTCCAAAGTTTTTTTCCCATGTCTTGCATTATAAATATGCTGTTACCACTTATCAAATACCTACCAATACCATGATGTTGAAAGACCATCATGGTAACCAAAAATTTTCATTGAATTTGTATTGATCTTACAGAAACCCCATTTCTTTCAGCAGCGACATTACAGCTAATTCTGTTTCCATTTTGTAACACAGTGAGGTTGAGGGAGATGGGTAGGTTTTGAAAGATTCAGGAAAAATAAGACACAGCCAAGTTTTTAGCTTTAAGAGCAGACACAGCAAGCGTTTCATTTAAATGTCTATAGCTTAAAACTCCTCCCACCTGAAACAGTACTATAACAATTTATTAAGCAGCCTTATTATTGAAGTAATTGACAGTTGTAAGATTGTGGACAGTCATAAGATTGAGGACAGTTGTAACACTATTTGTGATGAATGTAGATGTGATTTCTCAACCCCACACATCTCTTTGCAGGAATGTGCAGTAATTGCTGCTAACTGGCTGCTTCCCCTGCCAACTGCAAGTGTCCTACAGCATGAGCGGTGCTCTAAGAAAGGAGGCAAGTATTTTTAGCTTCAGTGTACCTACTACTTTTACTTTTCATTGGAATCATTGTAAACTCCCTGTGCTAAAAGAGTTTTCCTTGTTTCAACCTTCTTTCAAAGTCACCATTTTTGCAGGCAGATGACAAGTGGGCCCGCCGTAGTTCAGGTTCTAATTTCTGGTGACAGCCCTTTTTCATGATTCATGACACAATAACAGTATTATATAATGTGAGATGTTTATCAGCTGATGGATACATGACCCATCGGCTATTACAGGTGCTATCTGCCTTCAAGAGGATACATCGTGCAAGGGCAGAGGTGTTTGCTGGTGATGATGCTGCATTGTCAGGTGAGTATCGCATCAGTCGATGAATAGGTAACTGTTATTCTGACTAAGATATATCAGTTTCTATTTTGACACATTATATTGCCTGTCCCGTAGCTCAGTTGGTAGAGCATCGGACTCCCGGTAGTGAGAGCCCGGGTTCGAGACGCTCCGGCGCTCGATATTTGAGACTCCTGACGGGGATGGTCTGCGGTTGGTGGGAGCAGCCGCAGCCAGTTGAAGTCAGTTGAGTGGGACAGGCCGTGTCCGGCTTTGAAGGGCACTTAAAACTTTGGCATCTAAATTCTCCCGTCACCCGGAATTGCGCGATCGGACGGTAGGGGTCGGGGTATACGCAACAAGCTCTGCTTAGCGTGGGCTCCGGCTCTGTCAATGCATCCATTCAAGCATTCGAGCTAAATTTATAAAAAATAATAATGTAAAGCAAAAAGATGGATCAAGTGACCATTCAATAAAATATTTAGGGGTCACTTTTATGGCCCTGATTTTCATCTAGGAGTTCTCAGACTACATACCTATTGCTTCCCTTGACCCTTGCCACGTAAGTGCTATTTCAAGATGCTAGGTATGAAATAAATATATTATATAGACCACCATTGCTTTGTTTAGGTATTTCAGAATTTTACTTTAGAACCCATCTATTTTTTCAGCTGCCAGGATCAAAATAAATGAAGAGTACAAAAAGAACAGGGGAGTGACCAATGAAGACTCTATCAAGGAGGTATGCTCTAGGTGAAGCGATCATAAGTAACGAGCGAGCGAAAGACGAAAAACTCAGTATGAGCGGCTGACGCGGCCCTGCGCCGCGGCTCAAGTCGTATAGGTGATATCTGGTGATATGCATTGCGGGAGCCGCTCGACCGATCGACAGTCTTCTGCCATCCCTTCATGCATGCTGTAACTATTTCGCATGCTAGGACGTAAACACAACATTAAAAATAAGCACTATCATTCTTAATTATTTTCTGACGGAATTTATGTTTTCAGCTGGTGAACTTCTCGAAAGAATGTGAAACTGTTCTATTGAAAACAGTAATGCAAGCGAAAGAGACGGAGCCTGGCAGATATGGTGAGCAAGGGACTTGGGCTTCCAAGGGATACATTGCGTCATACAATACAAAAAGCCTAAAAACTAACAGCGTCCCCGTATTGCGTCATGTTCAGCCACTGCGTAAAAATAGACTTTTTGATGTTGTAGAAATGTCAACTATTCTCAACAAGCGTCTAAGGTCCACACGCTCGACCACGCACACTATCTGAAATCCAACTTTACCGACAGCCCTGCGCATCAACAAGGAGACGTACATGTGGGACAACGTGCCGTACCGGGACGTCGACCTGCCGCCCGCCAGGCCCGGCGGCTGCTCCGACCGAGCCTCGTGACGTCACTGGTTTGGACCTCGTGACGTCACTACGGACCGATCGGCGTAAGTCCGTCAGAAGCTGTTAACGGCGTAGTGGTTTTGTTTTGACGGTCGGTAGATGTCGTGCTGTGTTTTTGTTTTGTCCGTAAAGGGAGTGCTGGCGCAGTGTCATGTGGAGGCTGTGCTGTGATGATGTGTTGAGATTTGAGAATGATGCCGTGTGGCGGGCACACCACTCTGTGTCCGTCAGAGAAAATGGACGCCTTTTGTAGGACAAGGCGATACACAAGTCTCGCCATCTCTTGATGGACTTTACCAGCCTGTTGTTAAAGTTCACTGATACTAAGTGCAATTGACCCGAGAACCATACGATGGCCGATGACATCCATCCACATCGACAGGCCTTGTGTTAACATACAAAACCTTTGATAGGTGAATACAGCTATACAGGGAATACACACGGTGAATTCAGCTGTTCGTACCCATTGGAGTAGCAAACTGAGTGAACTATTTATTTACACGAATTGACGATGACTTACAGCTGGCAAAGGAGCACGCGATCGTCAGTATGACGAACAGTGTGAGTTTATATTTGAACAGGCGATCTTGTAATGACATTGCGATTCGCATCTAATCGAACTGAGGCACATTGCTGTCAGGCGAGAGTTCAAACATTGTAACAATCCTGCATGCCCATGGACTGAATCTCAGATACAAATATCTTTTTAAAATGCACTCTGTTGTCCATTATCTATGGCCGTATCCAGTAAATAGGCCTTAATGATTATATCAGAATGAGTGAGATTTACTGTAACGAATGTTTTTATCACCCTGGTACTAATAGTCCAAGTGTTGTTGGGATTGTGACCAACATAGATGAAGTACCATATGTGGATTGGACACAGTGCCACATTCTCCGAGAAATGTATTCTACGAGAAATGATACATTTCTCGTCGGTTTCAGAATTGATAGCAGAGGTGACTGCGTCGTCACTGTTTCGTCACCACGACAGATCACCGTGTCATTTTATGCCCCGTCTAAGTAATTCATGCTACTCTTCATAAGGGAGAGTTAAATGTCAGACCACCCATTATACCCGCATAATACCCCCGAAATATACTATTTGACCCATATGCGAGACATTAGCTTTTGGTAGTACTGGGCACCACAACAAGAAAGACTGTTAAAAGAAGCACGTACAAATCCTCGTATATGCTCCATGCCCGTGTAATATATCAGGACTATCGCATTATTCTTAGCAATCCCTCAATGTTGGGCGCCGCATGGCTAGATAAAAACAAGAGCCCAAGCCACCGGCATGAAAAAGCTCATTAACAGGGATTGCGAAACAATGGCGCGAACACCAAAAACAGACTTCGCCAGGCAAACCGGCAAAACAAAACGATGCTTGGAAAATTAAAACAAACATGCGAAAGGCTGAACAGAACATGCAAAAACAGCAAACATGTGGGCGGGTGACTAAGATATTTGCGACAACGCGTATGCATCGCATTAAATAACTAATGCCTGTTAAAACCACATCGTTGGTACGGAAGGCGACTATGACTGAAGGAGACATATGTTTCTCGCATTGGCACAACTAATACTATCCTTATTATTACTTGTAATGCGTGCTACGATACAATATTAATTAAAACCATTTCTATAATGCACTTAGGTAGCTGTCAAAACCTAATGTTTTCATAACCACGCACCGAAAAGTTTTCATCTAAAAACACACGCCACACGTTACCCTGACCGCTCACGCTCTTTAACTTATCACGCAACCAGACGACACCGCAGACACTGCACCGCAGCACCCATCACAGAGAGGCCGTCGTCGGCCCGGGCCGGGGCGCCTTACGCCGTCAGCGAGGTCACAGCACTATGTTTTCCGTCGGAAGACAAAGTCGTTGGCCAGGTCGTCGTGGTGCGTGATTTCCGTATACACCTCGTACCCTTTGGATTCCATTAGTCGGCGGATGGCCTCTTTACCCTCAGGCACGTGACGAAACTCCACTGAGAGCGTCTGCGACAGGAGGTGCGCTGGTGTCAGTGAGAGAGTAGATAGCACAGAAAGCCACCGCCAGCAGATCGCGAAGCCTACTTCATTGGATTCATGAAAACGAATTGTTATGTACTGACATGACGAGGGGAACCTCAAAGTGTCGAAGGGGATAAACAGATGTCGACAATTTACTGCACTTACGCCTCATAAACCGGGGACTATGTATCAGATGACCGGAATGCAGGTATCCAACTCACACATTAGCGTGCATGTCTATGGACTCGCTAACAGTCATGCTAGTCACCAATAAAAATTCATCGACAACAGTGGCATTTTGGTTAGCATTTTTATCCCTCAACACATCAAACTAACGCCCTTACACCAAAACGCCTGCCCCCCCCCTCTCTCTCTCTCTCTCTCTCTCTCTCTCTCTCTCTCTCTCTCTCTCTCTCTCTCTCTCTCTCTCTCTCTCTCTCTCTCTCTCCATCCCTCTCACTCACCCTTATGTCCAGCCGATCAAACGGCAGTGCAGCCAGCACTGCGTACTCGTGCCCTTCAACATCCAGACTGAAGTAGTCGACCGTTTTCCATCTCAGCGCCAGAAGGAGCGCCTCTAGCGGCACACACAGCACCTTGGCGTAATGTGTTCGTTTGCCACGAGCCGGCTTTCCCCGCGCTGGCAGACCGTCGTCAATCATACCCATGTTGAAGTCTTGCTTGAACGTTACCTGCGGATGGAGGGGTTGGTGGGAGTTAGTGTGGGATGGGTTGGTGTTTTGTGTTGGTGTGTTGGTAGTATGGTTAGTGAGCTGACGGGGAGTGAATTGGTGGGTCAGCTCAGCAATGCGTAAACTGTGGGTAAATAGGCGCGTTAGCGATTGAATGAACGGCTGGGCTAGAAGTGGGATCGTTGATGGGTGAACGGTTGGATGTCTCTTGTTTGATATAGGCTGTCAATTGTCAACTTGTGAATTGAGAAAGAGGAGAATTGTAAGGAACTGTGAACTTGACCTTGACGATGACCTTGACCCCGCCGTCTGCGGCGGCCCGAAAGCCAAGCCGGCGTGCTGAGACGGCAGATTTGCGGTGCCCGAACACCCACAACCCCTTGTATTTCTCCGCCTGTGACTATCAGAAACTGCACCGCGGTGTGATAGGATGAGAAGCTGGGGTTAGGATGACAAGCAGGGGTGAGGAATATTGCAAGTAAACACTGACAGGCATATTCAGGAGCGGTACTACTCAGTTGCACCACTTTGTACCAAAGTGCGGTGCTTACAAACATATAACGGCTGGCTTTCAGCGGTATAACCGCAGGTTGTTTGAAAAATGACAAACACTTTCCGAACACTTTTCGTTAGAATTGTGTTTTCCGGAGCTATAGGGGTGCGTCTCAGTGACCAAACAAACTGCGCCGTCTCCGTCCGAACCAATCCTTCATCATGTACGTGCATTGTGTGCTTACCTCAATCCGCCAGATAATGACAAGCAAGCCCTTGGCCTCGTTCTGCGATGGCCCTCCCGAAAAACCTTCTCTGACGCGATAGTGCCAACAGCCTTCCCCTTACACAGTGCTCCAGACTCCCTCCCGAGTGACGGTAGCTACCCACTTACTTAACAATAGCTCACCTCAGGCATGACGATAGCTCACCATTGAAACTCATCACTGACGATAGCTCAGGTCCGACACGATGTAAGCTTATCAGCTCTGTCACCGTTCTCTCACACGATAAGTTACACCTGTGGCACGATAGTTCACCTCTAACACGATGGCTCCCGATAGCCCACCTCTGACACGATGGCTCCTGGTAGCTCACCCCTACACTACGGTAACTCACTCGCGACACGACCTCTCACCTCGGACACGGTGCTCCCTGACACACCTCTCACCTCGGATACGGTGCTGCCTGACAGACAGGCGGGCACGGTCCAGGCATGCCGGTGTTTCTTCATCATGAGCTGATAGTTGCTGGGGTCGGGCTCGATCAGCAGACCCCGCCAGCCCAGGTAGCGCTCCATATAGAGAGTGTTGGAGCGCGTCTCGCCGTCCAGAGCACCGCACTCGATGAACGTGCCGCCCGTCTGTCAGCGTACGTACAGACACAAGTCAGCGTCGACGGCTGTGATAACAATTTACAGCGTCATAGTAAATGCCTTTTTAACCCTTATGGACAGCAGACAGCTTACTCAAAATAAAACTGAATTAAAGTAAAATTAAATGTTTGGAAATATTTTAAAAATGCGACTCGGGTGGTTCAAAGGAATTTTATGACGTTTCCTATTTAAATATTTCAATAGACGACCTTCTGTTGTATGAACTACAAAATTTGTCCTGTCATTCAACCACCGAACGGTTACCCACTATGTACCGGCTATCCTACCTTGTTCCCCAGTATCTCCAGTATGAGCTGTGACTGTCCGACGGACGGGTCGGGTACGTCGGGCTGCTGTAGCTCGTAGGCCAGCTCGGAGGGTGAGGTTATCAGCTCATCCCGCAGCAGCTGAATCAGCTCCGGGTCCAGTGAGCTGCGGCCTGTCGAGCGGGGAGGCCGGGGCAGCCGGGGTGGCTCAGCGGACGGCGCAGGGCGGCGGGTGATCGTGGTGGGTGGTATCCAAGCCACAGTGGGTGAGGCACATAACAGGCCTGCGTTCGGCATCCGGAAAATATTATCGTTTGGATATTCTCCCGGCGGAAAATTAATGGTGAACGCCTATCTTCAGCATGTCTCGTTATCGCGATACCGTACGTGATTCCCGATAATTCTCGCTGATCCCGGAAAATTCTCCCTGATTATCCGGATGCCGAACGCACGCTAGGTGTGCTGTTCCATGGTGGGTTCATAATTCACACACTGGCAGACACTTTGAGACACAGTGAGACACTCGGTGGGACACAGTGAGACACGCAGTGAGCGAAATGAGACACACGGTGAGGCATTGTGGAAAAGCAGTGGAACGCTGGACACGCGGTGTGAGATAAAGTGCATGGACCAGTGTCATGTGGTGTGCGGTATACGAGTGAGGCAGAACAGCACACGTATTGCCGGGTAGCAATTGGTCGGTCAGGTGGAAATGGCGCGTTGCTGGTGCGTCGATGTTGTGACTAAGTATGGTTTCCTGCGAAAAGAATGTCCAAACGTTACGACATTAGTTTTTTACAGCGAGTGAAGGTCGATTGACGGGTTCTAGGCCCGATTTTAACGTGTCATGACCGCTTTTAACTATCAGTGGGTCATAGGCGACATAGCCTTGATGCTCCAGGACTTACTGAACGAAGAAATAGCACGCCTAATAGCATGTAAGCGGAAGATCCTGTGACGCGTCAGTCATGTTAGAGACCCAGATTAGTTAGCACTTACCGACCAGAGGGTGAGATTTATTGCTCCAATAGACGAGGAACAGAAATAAGGCAACCAACGTCACCGCCGCCACGTACGGCTTTCTTATTGAAACTTGCATATTTGGCACCACCTGCGGGTGAGAAAAAAAACACGTCACGGAAATGAGCATACAACAATCCGATGGAGCTTACAAACAGGTTTTAGGGATATCTACGGCCTGCAAAACCCGGAAGAAAACATGCACTTTGAAAATGTTTTTGAGTTGTTGATTTATGACGGAACCTTTAACATCGCTGTCGAGTGTCGAACAGCGAATTTGTATTTGCAACGGCTTGTAATTATGATCGTAACTCGTATCGGTGTCGATTATGCATGCAAGATGAAAATTCGTGATAATCTGACGTGTATGCATGTCGTGGATAGGTTTGATGTCGTAAATAATGACACGTCTTTTCAATTTCTCGTTTCAAAACCCAGGAGTATCGACGAAGGTATCCAGTTATGGTTTATGAACAATGAATTACGCTTAGTGAGGTCATGATGACGTTGCCATCAGCAATGACAACAGGGCTCAGTGTGACCAAGTACCATGCATGACTCCATGGACGTTGACACTCAGCTCATGAGCAGAACTGTGACAGCACAAAAGGAGACGGCTCAGCCCTCAGGCGAATGACAATTAGCAGTGCCCCTCAGCACGTCGGGCCATAATAGAAAGCTCGTTCTGTGGGACAGTGGGCATTGGACAAGGCAAGTTTATTCAAAATTCGAATAAATAACGTCTTACGTTCAGAAGCACCATGATTCAACATGCATCTCAATTCAATGCCTTGGAAAAATACCTACACAGCATGAAATATTTATTAAGTAGCGGATAACTATCCCCCTCTAAATCGTGCGGCCATATGCAATGTGCGTCGCACATTTCATGTGCCACGCTATTGTTTTACGGCACAGCAGTGGCGCAGGTCAAGGCGCAGTAGCCGATCTAAGCGTCGGGCATAGGCGGCGGAACGGGGGGGGGGGGCACCGTGCCCCCTTGATTTGGGCATTTTAACATTAGCCCTATGGTCGTTGCATGGAAAGAATGGGACCAAAGTCGGTAGTGCCCACTCCCCCCCCCCCTTTAATTGAAGGTGTTCCGCCGTCACTGGCGTCGGGACCAAGCGACAAGCGTGACAATGACGATCAGCCCAGCATGACGGTGCCTATAGTGCAGACCATGGCAGCGACTGCCGCCGATTGCGGCTCTTTAAGTCCCGGTATGCATAATCACGTGACCTTTCCGACCTCATCATGCACGGTCACGTGACCTTTCCGACCTTCTCATGCACGGTCACGTGATCTCATCCCGCCACAACTCATGCTGTGGGGGTGTCCAGACTTTTACATCGATGCAATGAACCTCGTCCGCCGGTGTCAATTCACCGAGCATCGCCGCAGCGCAGAGCGCGTCCTTCCGCACGGCGGCGGAAAGATAATAATTGATAGTTTGTGGTGACCGGGATTGCACAACTCCGGTTCCCGGCCCAATACCTGCCCGCCCCAGCCCCCCCCCCAGACCGGAGCTGGGGAAGGGGGGGGGGGTGCGCTGTCGTCACCACGCGGACACGCAGCCCACCTGACGCGTGCAGCGGCCGTCAGGTGTGTCGAGAGCAATGACCGCGGTCGTAGCACGCTCCGACAAAACGGGTACTTTAGGCCGTACCGGGTAAGTGTGGACAGTAAAAGGGCCATGTCAGCGCCGAGGGACGGTCGACAGATGGTTTTCCTGCCCAGTTCCAAAGGTTGAGCCGAGTGTTCAGAGCGTCAGCAGCCTCCAGTACAGCAAACCATTCGGACTTCTTCGAAGAACGGCTGTTTTGTAAAGCATCGATCACCAGCTCTATTTAACATGCGAGTAGGTACGATATGACTCCGAAGCGGTAGCAAAGTGGTCAGTCCAGCAATAAAAGGTAAACAATCCGAGAAAAGTAACTTTTTATCAAACGATTTCAGTTTACGGGTTGCTTGAAGATAACCAATCTGAGAGCGGCTCTCAACGTTTATCATTCTTATCCATCTTCGTATCCGCCCACAGCTGCTAACGCAAACACAACTGATCGCAATCTCGTGGATTATCATTAGTCGTGACACAAATGATACCACAACAGAGCAACCAGCCACAGTTACAGCACACTTAACGTCACACATCACAGTGTCACAAAGCAGCACACCGCGTCACAATTCACAACGTACAGAGCCATCCAGCATCCAGCACCCAGCAATTACCTACCTACAGGTTAGATAACACAGCACACGACACATAGCGTCACATCACAGCATACAGAGTCACCCTGCTCACAAGTCACAACGTCACACAACATACCCCTGTTGCGTTAGACTTTACAAAGCACACAGTCACAGGCAGCGACCGTCCCATTGGCAGACAGTATCACAGCACACCGCTTTCCTGCACATCACAACACACAGCGTCGCACAGCCCACAGCCACTCCTCACCGTACAGCAGTGGACTGTCCAGGCGACGCCAGTGAGTACAAGGACACGGTCTGCGTCAGACCGCACTCCCACGCGCGCCACCCGCCGCGCCAGTCGCCGCCCAACTGCTGCTTGAAGCGCCGCCGCGCCGCTCCCAGCCGAGCCGAGCCGAGCGCTCAGGTGAGCGTGGGTGGAGGCATTAGAGGCGCAACTTGCCGCTTTGATACCCCGAGGCCCGAGGTCTCACAAATAAGTCACATAGCGCATGGATTTATTGCCAATGCATGGTCCAAGAGGCTTGCAAAAGGATCGTATTTAGGTAGATATTGGCCGCCGAATGTGCAGGTAGGCCCAAGAACATAGTAGAACTGATGTGACGAATTCAAACGCTCAGCTGGGGCGTTCCACGACAAATCGACAAATAAAAAATTAAATTTGCACCCTCATATTTTATTCTTCGTTGAAAACTGGTGTAAGGGGTTGTGATGGGCGGGGAAGCCAGCTGTGGCAAGGATTTTTTTCTTCGAACAACGGTTTCCGAGATATAGCCTCGGGCAATTCCTGGATTTCGCGCTGCAGCCCTATGTTTGGCGGCCTATAACTCAGAAACTATTGGCTTTTTACGATAAAAACTTTATATGGTTCAACTAACAATCAACCAACAAACACTTTGGCTATCTCGGATTCTCAATTTTTGAAAATTTTGATCACGTGACCTTTTGTCCTATTTTTCGAAGAGTGACCTTGATATTTTCCCCACTGAAAGTTGCAATTTTGTCTGATGACGATTAAAGCCTTATCAATTGTCATTCATATGCGATAATAAAAAAAGTGGTTATCGCCCTGCGTTGACCTCAGGTCAGGTCATTTTTATGACCTGTCCATTATTACGAGCGGGAGCGACAGCGAGATCTCAAGAATAAAGCAAGATAGCGACAAGCGGTAAACGGTAAAGGGTACACACGGATAAGGTCTATAATTTTTACTGAGGTCATTTTCAGGTCAGGTCAAAGATGACGTCACAGGAGCTAAAAGGAAGTCAAAATATCGGCACTATACAATGTAGGGGAGAGTGGGGCACATTCGTGCAAAAAATGGATAAACCCATATATCTGTTCTTTGGTTAGTGCAATGGCAAAATTGTTGATTGTAGTATGGAAAGGAACTATTGCAGATAGTTTTCCTCTTTAAAAGTTATCCTTTAAAATTATTGCTTCCATTAGAAAAATGACTTTTATTAACTCTGAACATTTGCACGAAACTGCCCCACCTATGGGGCACATTCGTTCAAGAGATGGGGCACTTCCGTTCACCCGGCAAAATTCGAGAAATTACCGGGCATTACCAGAAATTTACCAAAGGAAATTGGCAGGGGGTCATTTCACTTGATTCCTTTCGACAAGAATGCATTGCACAACAAATGTAGAAAGAATGGGCTGGCCAACAAGAATGTGCCAACTGCCGGCCTCCGTGACCTCGCCAAGTTCGCGTGAATTGCTCGTCACGACGTCGCAAGCAGTCGAGACTGAGTCAGGCGAGCGTCATTAGAGAAACCTACTACAGATAAAGTCATAAATCGCAAAAACTTAAAAAAATATGCACGAATGTGCCCCCAGGCAGTGCGTACACGAACCTGCCCCACAACGTTATTAGTAATATATTTCAAAATTTCTTTTAGAAAAAATGACACTTTTTCAACAAACAAGTTGAAACAAGTTGGTGAAACTTAAAGAGTACTCTATATACCGTGAGAGAGGGAGGAGACGTACTAGAGGCTGCAGGATATTTCTATTTTGGAAGCTCCTGCCAGCTCCTGCCAGCTCCTGAACTGCTCCTACGCTTAGATCATTTAATAACTGCTTTTTCCTTTTATTCCCACTTTTGGAGGCCTAGCTTAGCATTGAAATTTGTTCATGCAAGTTTTCAAGTGTCAGAACATTTTTGAAACTGACATAAAATGGTAAAGGGTCTTGCATCGCGTGAGACCCCTGCGTCACAATTGTCTCAAGGCCAGGAAAGCGAACATGAAAGTGGCGGGAATGAAAGTGCTGAGGAGGGGTTTGTGACTGTGCAAAGCAAAAAGAAATCAAAGAAAGGTAAGGCATTCCAGTGCAGAGGAAGTACTGGGAAACCATGTGGCAAAACTATCGGGAAGAAACAAGATTCTATAGAATGCGAAGGCTGTAATGACTGGTTCCACCCGAGCTGTCAGGGCCTAAGTGTTGAGGCTTTTAAAGCCATCGACCTACACGACCTCTTCTGGGTGTGCGAAACATGCAGAATGAAATTCAAGGTCTCGGTTTCACTGCAACAAGTGATCTCTAGAGTAGAGCAGGTAGAAAAGAATGTCATAGAAGCAATTGGCAAAGACAAGGATGAGAAAACTGTAGAGAAAGGGATCGAGAAAAAAATAAATGAAATGGAGAAGAAAGTAGTAGAAAAACTAAGCGAACAGAAAAAGGTTATCCTACAGAGCTCGGACACGATAAAGAAAGCTGTTCAAACGAGCAACGAGAAAAGGGACATGAACCTGATCATTCACAACCTGCCAGAGTCAGAGTCAAGCGAGACAGAGGTAAGGAAGGAATATGACAAGGAAAGGATCCAAGAGATGTCTAGGGCCCTGCGAGGCAACGACACTCATATAGATTTGCTAGACGTGGTCCGTCTTGGCAGAAGAGACACTTCATCCGACAAACCGAGATTGCTTTTGGTGAAACTTAAAGACAAAGAGCAACTAGAGGACCTGTACAAAAAGAGGTTCAGACTAACAGATGTAGGGTTCAAGAACAGGTACATCACCAAGGATCTGTCGCCAGAAGAAAGATCAAAGCAAAAAGAACTGAGGGACGAACTCAAAAGAAAAGGCAAGGAGACACACAGGATCTTTCAGAACAAGGTGGTCCCAAGAGAACAGTAGTGTGACTCTCAACAAAGTTTTGTCATGCTTCTACTCTAATGTCAATAGCTTAGGAAACAAGATGGAAGAGTTTGTGAACAGGGTGGACATTCATAAGCCAGACATTATAGGACTGACAGAAGTGTGGCAGAAGGATGAGATTCACATTCAAGGCTATCAAGTAGCAGCCAGTAAGTCCCGACCTGATGGTTGTAAAGGTGGAGGTGTTCTACTTCTTGTGGCAGATCATTTAAGGGTCAGCGAGTGTGATATTTTGAACAATTCAAACTTTGAAGAAGCAGCATGGTGTAGAATTCACACAAGGCCTGGGAACACAATAGTGGTGGGCATCTGCTACAGACCACCAAACAGTGATCGGGAAAATAATCAAGAACTGCTGAAGTTGCTAGAGAAAATGAAAACAATTAGTGCTACAGACTACCTGGTTATGGGAGACTTTAATTACAGAGAAATTGATTGGGACACTGGTGCAATTTCAGGACCACCAAACTCTGATGCCACTCAGTTTTACAACATAGTACAAGACTGTTACTTAACCCAGCATGTGAAATCCAGCACCAGGCACAGAGCAGGTACAGCCCCCTCTACCCTGGACCTCATCCTCACTAATCAGGAAAACAATGTTGAGGAAGTCAAATATGAAGCTCCAATAGGAAAAAGTGATCACTGTGTGATAATATGGGACTATAGAATACACTCTGAAAACAGGGAGGCCAAGGAACAACTCAGATACAATTACAGAGCTGGTAACTATGATTCTATCCGTCATGAGCTAGCACAGGTGCAGTGGGATGTGATAGAAAACATGGATGTTGAAGCAGCATGGACATTCTTTGTTGATAAGTTACACGATTGCAGAAAGAAGTATGTTCCTCTATTCAAAGGCAGAAGAAAAACAAAACTGTCACCACCGTGGTGGAATAAAGCACTAGATAAGCAAGTGAAGCGTAAATATAAAGCCTACAAGCAGTACAGAAAAGAACAAACAGCAGAGAATCTGAAGAAGTTTACCAGGATCAGAAACGAGACCACGAGTCACATCCGGCAGACAAGAAGGTTGTATGAGGAAGAGCTGGCAAGGTCAGCTAAGATAATGCCAAAGAAGATAGCCAAATATGTAAGACTGCAAAGCAAAACAAGAGACAAAGTGATGGAACTAGTCAAACCTGATGGCACTGTGATAGCAACAAAGAAAGAGATTGCAGATGAACTACAAACATTCTTTTGCTCAGTTTTTGTAAAAGAACAAGGCGGTGTTTTGCCAGCTTTTGAAAGTCAGGTGGAAGAAGGAGAATCACTCGAGGATATTAACATTACTTTTCAGGAAGTACTCCATGAACTTCAAACGTTGACTGAAGACAAGGCATCAGGACCGGATGATGTTTCCCCCTTTCTCTTGAAAAACTGTGCACCTGAGCTAGCATACCCACTCATGCAGATATTCCAAAAGTCCATGACAAGCGGACAGCTACCAACAGCTTGGAAGAGAGCAGCAGTGGTACCACTCTTCAAGGGAGGCTCCAAAAAACTGGCAAGTAACTACAGGCCTGTGAGTCTGACTAGTCATGCATGTAAGGTCATGGAAAGAATTATCAAAAGGCACCTGCTCAACCATCTATTAGAGAAAGATCTCATCTGCAAAGAACAGCATGGCTTTGTACCCAGAAAATCATGTTTGACCAATCTTCTAGAGGCTCTGGAGGATTGGACACACATACTGGACAGCAGCAGTGGACTGGACATCATCTATTGTGACTTTAAAAAGGCCTTTGATTCTGTGCCCCACCGAAGACTTGTTAAGAAGCTGGCTGCCTATGGTGTCAAAGCAGGAGTGCTTCAATGGATCACAAACTTTCTTCAGGACAGGACTCAGAAGGTAGTAGTTCATGACCAAGAATCTAGAGAAGAGGCTGTGACCAGCGGAGTTCCGCAGGGCTCAGTATTGGGACCCATCCTGTTTGTGATATATGTCAACGAATTGCCCACATTGGTCCAGTGCGACGCAAAACTGTTTGCAGATGACATGAAGATTTATCGCAAGGTCAGAAATTCAGAGGACTCAGAACAACTTCAGGCAGACCTAGATAGACTCTCGCAATGGACTGAACAATGGCTTCTTGAATTCAACCCCCAAAAGTGTAAAGTGATGCACTGTGGACCACATAACCCAAAAAGATCTTACAGTATTAGAGGAGTCAAAC